AATGATGTAGAAGGAAAGTTGACTTTTGTGTGAGATTGGGGGGCCAGCAATCACTTTGTTATTGAGGAATTAGAGAAGAATATGACCAACATAAAAACATTGCCAAATACTCTTTCTATTCATATTGCAAATGGGGACATTTTAAGAAGTAACAAAAAAGGAACATTAAAGTTTATGTGCCAAGGTCACAAAGTGTCCATAGAAGCTATCATAGTGCCTAACGTGAAGCATAATTTGCTATCCGCCTCAAAATTAACAGATAAAGGTTGGAAAATAATTATGGAAAGAAACAAATTGGAAATAAGTGGAGAAAATTTTAAGCTATACTGTGCATTCTGTGTGGCTTGTATATTTTAACAGCTGATAGGATTTTGACAAATAAAATTGAAAATATCAATGAATATAGCAACGTTGCAAACGACTTGTGGCATAGGAGGTTCGGACATCCTGGAAAAGAAGTTCTTATGGATTTAGGATTGCCCACTAGTGACAAAATTTGTTCTACTTGCATTGAAGGTAAAGAAACTCGATTACCATTCAAGGACAGTGAAAAAAGAAGTAAAAATATTGGTCATTTAATACACAGTGACGTTTGTGGCCCATTAAATCCTGTATCGTTCGATGGGTCAAAGTATCTTCAAACAATTATTGACGATCACTCACATTTTCTGATAGTTAAAACTTTGAAATCAAAAGACGAAGCAGAAAATAACCTAATTGACCATATACAAAAATTTAAAACACAGAAAGGCCATAAAATAAAAGCAGTACGACTTGATAATGGTGGAGAGTTCACTTCAAATTTTTTCAAAAATTATTTTAAGAAAAATGGCATAATTTTAGAATACACAACACCATATACGCCACAATCCAATGGGACAGCAGAGAGAATGAACATGACATTATATTAAATTAAATTAGAACAAAAATTATCGATTCAGGAATACCCAAATATTTATGGTCCGAAGCTTTAAAGTGCTCAGTATATGAGCTAAATCGTTTACCTACAAAAGGTTTATCAAAAGGAGCTACACCAGCACAAATTTGGCAGGGTAGAAGTGACCACTCAAAATTGAGAATATTTGGAAGTCGTGCCTGGTATACATTGTTGCCAAAAGGCAATAAATTAGAACAGAGAGCTAGAATAGTTATTTATGATATAAGTGTTAAAAGTACATTTTTAAGGCACGCATGTGAAAGTTTGCAGAATGAGCGAAGCGAATTCTGCAATTCACATAAGTGCCTTAAAAATACTTTTAACACAAATATTTTTTCTTCTTTTTTCTACAAACGGCAATAAAAAGCAATAACCACTAACAAATTGGATTTTTAAATGAATAATAAATTGGAAGCATCTTTCCTACATAAAATTCTTGAATTTGACATTTGTCAAAAAATCCATACAACTAGCACCTTGTTTTACAGGTAACGAAATGTCTTGTCAGTTTCTTGAAAGTCTGTCGTGGTCAGATACAGAAGAAACAGAGGGTTTCATCGATCCTTCGAAAAATATAGATGAGGCGGCCAATCGGGCTACCTCAGTTGTTCAAATTTCACCATTAATATCAATGTAAATAACTGAAAATACAAACTTTTTTTGACGTCCGCTCTCAAAATTTGATGTTTCACTTTTAACACTAGTGCTATAAAGACTTTATGGCACTAGTGCGATAAAGTAACATTTTTAATGCTTCGGGCCGTGTTAAAAATTGCATTTTTAACACGTTTGTAGAAAAAGCAGTTTTTGTCGGTTACTGTGGTGGTGGTTATAGGTTGTGGTGGTTACCAGAAGAACAAAAAATAATAAGATCAAGAGATGTTAAAGTTGATGAAAGCATCATGGAATACACAGAGAAAACAAACCAAGTTACAGAAGCTCAGCCACGTCAAGGAAAAATTGAAATTGAAGAAAAAGAAGAAGAAAACCAAGAAAATATGCACGAAATTGAAAACAATCCTGAAAATGAATCAAACTCTAGTAGTGACAGTGAAAGTTGCAGTTCAAATGAAGTTAACAATGAAACGAGGCCTCATGAACAAAGAATGTCAAGGTATGGTAGATCAGTAGCATTACCTAAAAATTTAGAAGATTACGAAATCTACACTGCCTATTGTTTATTGACCGAGACAAACCAAGAACCTAAAAATTTTATAGAAGCCAATAAATTACCTGATTGGCGAGAAGCAATAAACAAAGAACTGAAGGCTCATGAAAAATTGCAAACATGGCAACATGCAGAATTACCTAAAGGTCAAGTTGCTATAGACACTAGGTGGATTTTTAAAATTAAAGATGATGGGACTAAAAAGGCCAGATTAGTGGCAAAAGGATTTCAAGTGCCCTATAATGGAGATGAATTTTGTTATGCTCCGGTTTGCAGACTGTCAACAATAAGACTACTATTCTCAGTTTTTGTGCAAAAAGATTGGAAACTTTATCAAATAGATGTTCCAACTGCATTTTTGAATGGACTTCTGGATATAGATGTTTTTATTAAAATCCCAGAAGGCTTAAAAACTAGTTCAAAGTGTCTCAAACTAAATCGTGCATTATACGGACTGAGAAGTGCACCGAAATGTTGGAACATTAAATTTAACCAAGTGATGGAAAAATTAAACTTTCAGAGGTCAAATTATGATTATTGTTTATATTTCAAAGATGACGTTTACTTAGTATTATTTGTGGACGATGGTTTAATTATAGGACCAGAAAACCAAGTACAAGATCTTTTGGAAAATCTCCACAATGAATTTAAAACTAAAAATATGACTAAAGTGAAAAGATTTCTTAGAATGGAGATTAATGAAACAAACAAGGGATTAAAAATTACACAAAGTGACATGATATCAAGACTGCTTAAGGAATTTATTATGGAAGAGACTAGAAATGTGGCTACACCTATGGAAGTTAATTTCAATGTACAAGAAGATCAACCGATTATTGACAATGTGCCCTACCGAAGACTAATATGTAGTCTAATGAATGTATTTGTCTTTAGTCAGTCGACCAGACATTTCATACAGTGTTGCCTACTTGAGCAGATTTTTGGATAAACCAAGAAAAAGTACATGGGAAGCTGGTAAGAGAATCCTCCGTTATCTTAACTACACCAAAGATCACGGTCTATTGTTTCAAAAGGGGAATATAAATGAATTAATTGGCTTGTGTGATGCAGATTGGGGAGGCGATCGTGGAACTAGAAAAAGTGTTAGTGGTTTTGTATGTTTTCATGCCAAAAATCCCATTGCATGGCATTCACGAAAACAGTCATGTGTAGCTCAATCTTTAATGGAAGCAGAATATATCTTAGCTGGAATTGCATCTCAAGAATTCATGAACAGCAAAGGACTTTTGAGTGATTTCAATATTTGTGAACCAGTGGTACTAAAAATTGACAATGTAAGTGCAATTTCTTTAGTTGAAAATTTTGAAAACTCCAAGCGTGCAAAACATATCGATATTAAGTATAATTTCATAAAAGATTTGCGTTTGCGAAAGGAAATTATTTTAAAGTATGTTCCCTCAAATGAAAATGTATCAGATATGTTTATCAAGGTTTTGGATAAAGAAAAGTTCATAAGATTTAGAACAAGTATCTTAGTAGGTGATTTGGTTTGTAGCAATTTGAATATTTTGTTTTTAGGTAGGTATAGTTAAAACCGTTAAAACATTTAAATTGAAAAGGGGTGATAGAATTTACCATTATTTGTGAGTATATTATACTTCTGTTTATGTTCTATGGTTGACCCCAACTTAGATTTCTGTACCTACTGTTAAGTTTAGTTTGTCTAGGTATAGATGGCGCTTTTCGTTTTGTAAAAAACTGTCAAACTGTCTAGGTTAAGTTGTTGCTTATGACGACATATTTTTTGCAGCCGTCTCTCGTATTACAACGATTAATTGAAGTATGTTTTCAAATAAGATCAGGAAAAAATAAGATTTTGCAAAATTTTCGTTGTTTTTTCCAAATATCTCCAGAAGTACGTAATGGGAATTTTCCAAATTTCAAAACGGTATTTTGATGGGCAAGAAATTGCGTAACCTTGCCCTAGAGCATACACACAAACTTTTACATTTTTCTAAAAAAAACTAAAACTGTTTTTTTACAAATTACCCTGTATCTCGGAAACTAAATAGAAATTTAACCGCCCTCGTATACCAATGGTGGCCCTTGATATTTTAGACCCATATACTTTTTCTATTTTTAGCCCTTGAATTTTGTTAATTCTTTTAATTAGAAAAATTTAAAGGAAAATACCTATAAATTGATACGAAAAAAAAAGAGCACTTGAGACAAAAACATTAGCTGATCTGCGTCAAAAGTTATTTATTGTTAATTTACTTTAAAAAAATTTAACAACTCATTTAGTTTGGTTTATCGTTTATTAGTGGGTGTATTTATATTTATATTTCATACCAAATAAATAGAAGGCCAAATACCTCTTTTTTCTATAATTCTAATAAATCGGATATTGCTATTATAAAAATCCATTCAATAATAAATTAATGTTAAAAATCCTTATTTATGTAGGTACTTCGAAACTAACCTCACAAATTTATTTCTTTAGTTTTGTCGTAAAGTGGAGTTTTTGCACATAAAACATTGTGTGGAATGATTTTGAAATAATATCTCAAATAATAACGAAATTCTGAATTAATCCTCATAGGTATTTTCATATAAAGGTAAAGTCAAAATTAAAGTCGAATTTTTTAAAAGAAACAAGTAGGTATCACTATTTCGACAATCCTCAAAAGTGTTCCCAGTTCCCAGACCCTTTGTTCCATTGTTCATTATTCAAAATCTAATGTCACTAATAACAAATACCTAATATACTGTTGATTATTTATATTTGAAACACTTGACCAATATGTAATTAATTAAAAAAACAAATTATTGATTAGACTTCGACCTTAATTAATTTTTAATTCAATTAAGAAGCTGTATGCAAACTTTATTGTGGAATGTCTAAAAACGATAAAAGCTTTGTTGTTTCTTTACCTGGGGCTCCGATTTGAGCGGCCACATCGACCCAAGCCCGTTCCTTGGCATTCCGGTCTTTAAATTCCGGCCGATTTCTGTCCCAGATTTGCGGCGTTTGCCGCACCAATTCCACCAGCCGCTTATTGTCCATAATAATACAATAATTTCGAGGTTATAATCAAGTAATTCTGCACCGAAATAATTTCGTTGTTCCACAGCGCCAAGCCAAACAACTTTATCGATTAAATTTCGCCCCTCTCAAAGCTGAAAACTAATTAAAGTTAATTGAATTGCGATTCTCCTCGACTAGCTTTTTCGGTCGTCGCTCTCGTACTAGTTTACCCGGTCGCGGTTCTCTTTTTAGTTGTTTGCCTTGCGTAATTAGAACTGTGGAATTAGTGAAAATGATAATTACGAACGAACCGTTCCGTTCCTAATTACATATTATGAGTAATTGTTTTCGGTGTAATTTATCGATTATTATTTTGCTTTAATGAGTTTTTATTTATGTGTCATTGAGAAATGTACTTTTCGATTTTTGTTCCAATACATAGATTTTTGAATTATTTTCTCTCATATTTACCTATAATGGCTTCAAGTTTAAGTGAAATAAATTAGAAAAATTACTACATATATAGTTTATCTTCTAAAAATCTTCATTTTAGTGAATTCGCCTTTTTTTTTCAGGAAATCTCGAGTTTTCCTGGAAAATTTACTTAGTACAATAACACTCATTTTTCCTCTATGGATGAGTCCAAAAAAATCAATCAAGGATGTATTTCAATTAACTTCAATTTATTGACTAACCCTTGATCCCATTTCAAAATCAATTTGAAGTATTATAGAACATCCTGTTAAGTTCCTGTTAAATTTTTTGAACTAAAAAAATTAATAAAACCCAAGAACTTGGAATTTGGAAAAATATAAATTATGTCTTCTTGTCGTTTCTCAATTTTTATTGAATTTCCGCTCTCTCTATGTCCCGTTTTTTTCATATCAATTTCTTATTTTTCTTCTAAATTTCTCTAGGGCCTGGCTAATAACTATGTGAAAGATTTTATCGTTCCATAATTCTATTGGTCGGCGGATAACTGGCGGACCAATGCGAGATTACAGATTGCATTCCTATCCGTCAGATTGCGCATACCCGACGTTTAATCAGAATATGAATAATCCTGCACTTAATAAAATAATGTATATTATTTATTTATATTTACTTGTCTTCCAGTTTTTTGCTCAATTTTCATTGAATTTCCCTCTTTATGTCTCATTTTTTTTCTATTCATTTATCTTTTCTTCTAAATTTTTCTTAGAGCCGGTTTATTCACCTTCTGGTAAACTGTCAGGTGTGCAATCTGATGGATAAAATTGCAATGTGTAATCCCATTAGTCGGCCAGCTATCCGCCGACCAGGTTTGAAACCTGTGCTCAAATTATTCTCTCAATTTATTTCCAGAAAAATTGATGGAATAATGACTACTTCTCCGGTTGGCGGTTAGTAGTAAAAAAACTACTTTACGCACTGGTGCGTGACATTTTATGTCTTCTAAAAGGTACGTAACGTAAGTACTTTACGCGCGGTAGTGGAAAAAACAATTATTGCGCTTTCACTTACAGTCGGGAATAAGATATTGTACCCATACTTATACAGGGTAGTCCATTTAAATTGAGACATTTCAATATCTCAAAAATGGCGCGTTTTTGAAAAAAAAAAGTTCAATAATGTCTTAAGTTCAATGGCCCACCCTGTATACCTATTGTATATCGTGTGCTAGAAACTTAAAATTACCAATTTTTCATTGAATATGAAAATTTTGCGACTAAATAAAAGAAAAAGTAAAGTCTGTTTTTTTTTTAAAGATATAATTCCCCAAGTCAAAAATTTAGTAACTATGTTAGCAACACAAGCCTTCTCTACATAAAAAATTTGAAAGCCAACATCATTTCAACTTTTATCTTTAAAAAATAACAGACTTTAAAAATTCCGCTATTTCCGCTTCTACCCTTTGCGAACGAAAATAGAAAATTTCCTCAAAAAGGCAAGGAGGGGATAATTCCGTCAAGCTGGCAACACTGTAGCTGACTCGTTATCAAACGCAAGGATATCAACAAAGCATTTGATAGGTTGGATATAAGCCCCGCTCCTTTCCAATCAGATGCGATCAATATCAGCAGGGCATTCAATTGGTTAGTTGAGCCCCGCCACTTTCCGGGGTTTATGTATCGTCAAGGTATTTGATTAGTTGTTTCCTTTTCAACCCTTTCCAATGGCCCCGGCCCACCTACAGTGACTTAACCTTTTCAGATAGAAATTCGGTACCGCCGCCATATTCTTGCAAATTTTGAATATGAATATAGAAGTTAGCCACGCCCCTGCCGCCATATTTTTGCAAATTTTTTGATGTTTACTCAGGTATTATTATTAATATTATTATTATCTAAGTATACAGAGTGTCCACTTAGTGCGACATCGGACGATATCTCCTTACAGGGTGATGCAAAAAAAAAAAATTAAATTACAAAGTTGTTTGATACTCTAATATGTATTAGTTATAAATATTTTTGAATATACAGGGTGCTCTGTTTATGGGGTATGCGACAGAACTTTGTTATTTAAAATAAAACAGCCTGTATGTGATTGCATATTTGGATTCTACGTAAAATTCTGAGCAGATTTTATGTAATATACCCTATACCTAAGTTCAACTGTTTTGGAAATATTGACAGTTGAAAATTGACTTTTTGCAACTTTGACAGGCTGTAAAACCTAAACGGTTAATTTTAGACGAAAACCGATTTTACATTCTTATCTTAGATTTTCATAAACCATCATTTGACATCATCTTGCATCACCCTGTAAGGAGATATCGTCCGATATCGCACTAAGTGGACACCCTGTATATGTACAGGGTGTCCCACGGTGGATGACGTATTAGACGTTTATGGAGAACTAAAAAGCGGATTCGTTTAAAAATTTGGCAACCGGGCTAAACGACCATGATCTACACTTTAAAAATATTTTTGACCATGCGGTGTTGCCGCTTCTACTCTAAACCAGTGGCAATATCGCTATTTCAAATAGAATACCCTGTATGTGATTGCATATTTGGATTCTACGTAAAATTCTGAGCAGATTTCACGTGACATACCCTATACCTCAGTTCAACTGTTTTGGAAATATTGACAGTTGAAAATTGACTTTTTGCAACTTTGACAGGCTGTAAAACCTAAACGGTTAATTTTAGAGGAAAACCGATTTCACATTCCTATCTTAGATTTTCATAAACTATTATTTGACACCAACTTTGAATTTTACCGGAGATTAAATTTAATTGGAATTTTTAATCATGGATCAAATTCAAAGTTGGTGACAAATGATAGTTTATAGAAATCTAAGATAGGAATGTAAAATCGGTTTTCCTCTAAAATTAACCGTTCAGGTTTTACAGCCTGTCAAAGTTGCAAAAAGTCAATTTTCAACTGTCAATATTTCAAAAACAGTTGAACTTAGGTATAGGGTATGTCACATGAAATCTGGTTAAAATTTTACATAGAATCCAAATATGCAATCACGTATAGGGTGTTCCATTTGAAATAGCAATGTTGCCACTGGTTTAGAGTAGAAGCGGCAACACCGCATTGTCGAAAATATTTTTAAAGTGTAGATCATGGTCGTTTATCCCGGTTGCCAAATTTTCAAAATGATCCGCTTTTTAGGTCTCCATAAACGTCTAATACGCCATCCACCGTGGGACACCCTGTAAGTATTTATTTATTCTTTATTTTTCAATTTTTCCATCTCAAATTTTGTCTATTCCCGGATCTTGAATTTTCGTTTTCTTCTGTGAGTTTAGTAATAATAATAAATGTCTCAAATAATAATAAATAGTGTAAAACCTTAATTTATCTATATATAGGGTGGTCCAAAAAAAACCGGAATTTTGTTTTTGAGCTGTAACTTTTTTATTTGTTGACCAGTTTTCTTTTGTTTTGGCTTGTTTGAAAGAGAAATGAACAGACTAACGAATCTGCTCTGGGACTCTGTGCTCTATAGAATTCTACAGCTCACTTTCTATAGCAGATATCTATTTTCAAAAGCGATAGTCGGCTGAAACGGCACTCTGTGTCACTATCGACAACAGTTCGGCTACGTTCTCGTATCCTTTTATCATGCTACTAACCATTCGAAAAACGTAGTACAAATCTAGGGGAAACTCTAGGGAATTTTTATTTGATTCCTAAGAAATGTCAATATTATTTATTGAATTAACTGTATACGTCACAATAAGTTTGTTTTTGTTATTATTTGGTTTGCTTCTTTATACCATAACTATTTTTGCTTCCTGAAAGTTGAGTTTAAGTTTAAAAATTAGGCTTTGTTGCCCATTAATAATTCAAATAACAATATTGTTGAAGAAGATGAGAAGCTTGAACATATTTGTCTGGGAAATATCCAGTGATGAGTGATGCCCAACCACCAACAACAGTGACTGTTTTCAAAAAGAAGATGTTAGATTTGAAGAAATAATCGGGCAAAGCTATAATATTTATGTGGCTATACAAACTATATCAAGAGCAGAGCAAAAGAGAAAGTATCAGTAGCCATCAGGGTTCAGTTTGCTGTGACTCAAGACGAGAAAAATCTAATTGAAGCGGGATTTATGGAAAAAATCAATTTTCCAGGTGTGATTACTATCACACGGCCGATGGAACCCACAGTGAGTGAAATTATTATTAGACCACATGACGAAAAACCCTGGCTAATGACACATAGGGAAAACACTGCTCCAGGAACTCCAAAATATAGCCAAAATTACATCCAAACTCGAAATTGTATGGGTGTGTTTGAACAAAGATTTGTGTGTACTTCAAAAGTGTTGAGGCATGCCCCAAAAAAAGTTAGGCGCTTTGTCGTTTGGTTTGTGCTATTTTATCTAATTGCTCGGAAGGGAGACTGAATGGTCCCCGAACCTCATATCCGAAGGGATAACATTCAGGTACCGGAGGTACCATATAATGTAACGTTATGCAAGCAGGAGTCCAAGCAAGAAACAATTTGATTTGTCGTCATTTTATGCACTGACTTTCTAAAATGTTATTATAAAGATTTTAACCATAATATGTGTTTTATTCCGGGTTTTTCGCTTCTCACTCTCTCAATGACGATAATATCAATATTATTAATATAATCGGAAACCGGCGCGGCGTCTGCTCGAAATAAACTAAATAGGAATGGAATAACGTAGGTATAAATATGAAATATCAACAACAACAATTTCGCAATTGTCAGTGTCATTCATGAAACTTCACCATGCACATGCGTCAGTAGTATTCGACACGTCTCGAGATGTAGAAATGAAATTATAAAATAAATCGCGTTTTGTCGATATTCTTGATGCACAGAGTGCCAACCATGTAGGATCTTGTCGACTGATAGAATTCTACATGACACAGAGTCCCGCTCCTGTGCTCTATAGAATTCTACTGCTCGATTTCTATAGTAGATATCTATTTTCAAAAGCGATAGTCGACTGAATTGGCACTCTGTGTCACTATCGACATTAGTTCGGCCACGTTCTCAGATCCTTTTATAATGCTACTAACCATTCGAAAAACGT